GGGTTGAACGAACCGGCTCTTTCACTAACATGTCGACATGTGCTAGCGTTTATAAACCTCCCACTAGCGGGCACACGAATAACATGATCATATCGGAGACAAAACAGGTAGAAGTTAACAGGAAAATCACAATTCACAATCACTTTCAGATCATCAGGACAGTTCACAATCACTTTCAAGTAGGCATGCTCAATTTCATGAAAAGCACAAAACATTTCACTTCAAATCAGTCATACTTGTGTAAAACGGGTTTAGTCCAGCCACCACTTCAAAAACAAATCAAAACATGCTTTTAAAACAGTACGGGCATTACCATAAATTTACTTACCTCACTTGCATAAAACCGAGCACTCAATCTCAGTGCTAACTGACAGAACGATCGGGAACCTAATCAAAATATTTCAAGAATTAATACCACTATCACAAATTCACACGGAAATCATCATTAGGATTATTCCTAATCACAATGCTATTTCTATCACTTTCCACATGATCCGACATCTCCAAATTCGTTCTCATATCACAAACTAATCACTTAAATTCCCGTTAAATGTTGGCCCTCGGGGTATGAACAGTAACCGGTGAACAGTGTCCGTGAACAGTGACCCGACGTGAACAGTAACCCCGACTTTCACAAATTGGCCAAAACACTAGCTAATCTCACGGGATTTTCTCTCCAAAAATCACAACAATTAATCAAGCTAATTTACACTTAAACCAAGCTTAAAACATGCTCAAAGGCTACCAAAATTCCCCCCATTTTTCTAGCATAATTCGGACACACAGGGGCAGCCAATAAATCAAGCTAATTCTACCTTAATCAAGCTTAAAAACAATGGTTTAAGGCTGCCACATACCAAAATTTACAAGCAAGGAACCGGAGCTAGCAGATTGGGGAAGAAGGCCGGCGGCATGGAAGAAGAAAGCTCACGGCTTTAACCCAAAATTCAAGGAAATAAGAGCAATTAACATAAACCCAAGGCAATCAAAGCTAGAGAAGGGAGATTCATGGCTGTTTCTTACCAAAAAACCGAACAAATCACACCCACAAAGCAGGAGCAGCCGGCGGTGAAAAGGAAGAGCAGAGCAGATCCGGATTTTCCAGCAAAGGGGGAGAGATTTCTGGGTTCTAGAAGTGTTCTAGAGCAAGAAAAGAAGGCCAAAAACCAAGCTTTCTCACCGGTTTCTCAAGCATGGCTGGGTTCCCCTTCTTTTTTTGGCTGCAGCGGGAAGAAGAAGAAGAAGAGCAGAATCGGGCTGAGAAGAAAGAGGAAAAGGAGAAAAAGAAATAAGCCATCCTTATCCAAAATCTTTCCCTCTTTAAGCCCCTCAACTTTTGAAATTTTGGCAATTAAGTCCAAAACAATATTTTCTCACACAAAAACCCTTACTTAAATGCTAAAATAGCACAAAATTTTGGGGTATTACACTAGCCATGGGCAAAATTAGTCACTGTTGCCCCTCTAGCTATGGGGAAGCTATTCATGGCTAACTCTATAATATTTATATGGTTGACAGCCATGCCTATCATCATCCTTTCATATAGAGGGACAAAATTGCCAGTTTCTAATAATCCCAACTCATAACATATATCTTTTGTGTTTTATGTGTTAATGGGTATCGTCGACCAACGATGCTTGGCTTAGAACAACGATATCGTAGCACATACCCGTATCACTTGTTGTTTTGATTCTGGCACGATGCTAGCCATGCACAACAGCAATATACTAGCACCCGTCAAGGCCAATGAACATTCGTCCACACCATACCCTTTAATACACAAGGGAGTACCCTTCTTCGTTACGCATATCCATATACTTTACATTTACATGTTTGAATATGTACTCATATGTATCCTATTGTCATTGCTGATAAATATAAGCCTATGAATCTAAGCTCATGGGATTTACTCGAGATAAACTATGGGGATAGTGACTTGGTAGGTATGGATGGATAGACGCTGCCCTTTTGGCGAAACAAGGCGCTTGCACCAGCGAACCTTGGTGCTGGCGATGTTGCTTGACTTTGTTAGAAAAGGCAGGGTGGCGAAAATGTGGAAATGGACTTGATTCCTGAAAAAGTACCCTTTGATGCTAACTAGACACTTAAAATCCCGTCAAAGAACTAACTAGAGATGCTGTTTTGATCACCATCAACAAATGGCAATTATATTTAATAAAGTGGTGGCTGCACAAGTTCCATGGCCTTGAAAACTGTTGAAAAGGATTGATGTTTACTTGGGAAATCCTCCAAAATCTCACGCAAACCTTGGGGAACCTACTAAAATCTTGTGTTTGTCGGTTGCACTCAAATACCCTCCCAAAAGTGGAATTTCATATGGCTGGAGGAATTACCAGAAATAGTCAGTTTCTAGTCTTTCGCTAGAACCACTAGGTAATTCATAATGTCACTACTAGAGAGCTGCCAGTAGTACCCAGAGCCATTAACAGTTTGACAACTCACCCAAACCCACCTGTAGACCTTTGACCATTAACCAAAAATTACAAAAATGTCACTGTACTTGTATATATATTATTTTTATTTTTCTTCATTTTTAAGAACAGAGTAGAAGAACAGATACCGAGGGATTTTCAACTTTCTTCCTCACATACCAGACTTCCATTTTCCTCTAAAAAAATCCTACACCTTCAACCTCTCACCTTATACATCAGAATCACCAAAAAACCACCATTTTCTCCATCTTTTCTGCACTTCCAAACTTGTAGCACATCGTGGCTGGGAGGCAGCATATTGCAATTTCAACTTCTGGGTAATTCCTCTTAGGCATTAGATGGTCAAGTGGCAAGGTTAACATCAACAATGGGATCGAGCACTCTACTCATAAGCCCCCAAGCAACCATCCCTCCTTCTCCCACCACCACTTTTGTCACGCCCTAGAACCCAAATCCGGGGACGTGGCAGATGCGGTGTACTCGTGAAACGGGTCCCATGAATGCACAAGGCTCGGAACCTATCATACCACAATCTGATACCACAAAATCTGAACATAAAATTTTAACAAACTCCCACTTATAGTTTTAGTCTCATCTATAAGTCATGGCCGGTGTTTAACAAACTCCCACTGGCAGGCGTTAGTAATAACCAATGTTTAACAACTCCCACTGGCAGGCGTCAGTAATTACCAGTGTTTAACAAACTCCCACTAGCAAGCGTCAGTAATTACCAGTGTTTAACAAACTCCAACTGGCAAGCATCACTAATTACCAATGTATTCGCCCATTGGTAGGCATTAGTAATTTACCAATGTATTATCCCATTAGCAGGATTACAGAATGAACCGGTCATATCAGTAAACATGTCAACATGTGCTAGAGTTTGCAAACTCCCACTGGCGGGCGTCAGTAATCATGACTATATCAGAGACAAAACCATGCAGGATTTATAGAAAAATCCATAATTCACAATCAATCTCAAATTTTAGAAATAACCGAAAAATTTCCATGTGGGCATGGATTTAATGGGAAAATCATAATTTACAAAAATTCTCAAATCATTAGAGCAGTTTAGTAAATTCCAAGTAGGCATGCTCTACTCAATGAAAATGAAAATAATTTCATTTCAAACCAGTCATGCTCGGTGTTAATAAAATCAATTTAAACCCTACCACCATCTCAAAAATAATTTAAAACATGCTTTGAAATCGAAGGGTGTTACCATAATTTACTTACCTTACTCGCATAAAATCAAAGATTCGATCCAAGTGCTAAAGTGAACGAAAGGATCAAGAACCTAACCAAAGCCTCATTGTTCCCTCCCAATTGAAACACGAGATTCCTAGGGAAAAGAACATAACATTCAACAAACAATCCATTTTTCAATTATAAACCACTTAACTTGCACCCCCATCTATTGCCATATTTATTTCCTTATTATTATTTTTATTTCCAAGATTTGAGCACTAAAAGCAAATTGTGCACACACACATCTATATATATATATATACACATTTATAAAATTGTCCAATCTCACGGACAAGAACATGGAGAAACCGGACTTTGCAAAGCAATAGCTAATTCATGGGATTTTTCATACAAAACCTCACATCAGCTAAATCAAGGGATTTCTACTTGAATTAAACTAAAAAACACAACTTGAAGTGCCACCAATTTCTTCTATATTTCAACAGAAATGTGAACAATACAGGGGCAGCAATTACATGGACAATTTCAGCAATTAAATGGGCGAAATTGGACTTAAAGGATGTTGTCCATCATACCAGAAAATTTCGGCAAGCTGAAATCGGAGCTGGCAGTGTGGATGGCTAACGGGAATTGGAGAGAACTAACACAAAATTGAAGGAAAAAAAAAAGGAAATTAGAGTAACCCAACTTGAATCAAGGCTAAAGGGATGATTTTATGGTTAATTCATACCAGAAAACCGAAATTACACACCCACCGGCAAGAGCAGCTCGCGGACAGGGGGAGCAGCTGCAGATCTGAAAATTCCTTGGCTTTAGAGGGAGTTATAGGCCCTAAATCTTGTTTTTGAACAAGAAAAGAGGAGAAAAATAGCAAGCTTTTGCCAATTCCTCAAGAGAGGACT